GGCCACCTCGTCATTAATGTAGTTGAGAAATGCACTTGGACACAATTTTGTCCTTTTTGCAGTGATAAGGGGCCGATGTTTGCTTACAGATGTTTGTTTGAGAATCCGAAGGCGCCTCAGAAGAATGCTGAGCTTGCATTCAAAGCTGATATATAGTTAAAAATGCACAGAATGCAATAAATCGAGATGCCTTCTCTCTGAAAATATATGGCCATCAGCTTATCAGTCAGGAAACTAAATCGGTTGACACAAATTCTTAATTTTTGTACGCTTTTATAATGCAAGTATGTTAAATAATAAAAAAAATTAGTTTAAGTTCACATAAATTTAGTAGATAACTTTGTCACTATTCAGTAACAATTTTATACTTAGAACTATAAAAATAAACAGGCGGTGAACCTTCTTGTCAATCATTTTTATTATTTTCATTTTCACAATTTTGTATTTGAAAAACACTCTAATTATTATTTTTTTTTTTTCGAAATGTGTCTGTTTCCAATTTTTTTTTTTTTAATTTTCAATTGGAGGGATGAAAAAATGTAGCCTAATTTAAAAATAATTTTTCTAAATGGAGACCTGCAAGAGTAACGAAAGTAACAATTTCCCACAGAAAGCCAAACTCATTAAGAGACTTGGAGACAAGCTGATGATAATCGAACCGGAAGCTCCGTCTGTCTACGCCACCATTTTTCCTGTGGATGTCTAGTAATTAGGCGGCGCTAATTAGCAAAGGTCGGCGCATCATGCGTGCGCGTATCCTTAGCTTTAGAAAGAATCAACGTTTGGAGAAAAAAATTGCCGTGGCGCCTCTTTTTCGGCGGGACTTTTGAGGACATGCATCCTTGCGCCTTAATGAGTTGCTCATTAACAATGGGATCAAAAGGGAGCCGCCTCTCTTCAAAGAGACCAACGTGACGGGCACAAATTATTCAATTCGCGGCGGCCCCGCTTCTCTGCGTCGTAATAATTTCCACGCAATTTTATGTCATATACTCCGGAGGGCAAAATATACACCTAGACAGAATATACTTCCAAAGCTGCTCTGAAGTAAAATCAGGATTTTTTAATATATTTTTTAACAGGAATTTTTCGCTAACAAAAAAAATTCAATCTCCAAATATTGTTCTTCTGTTAAAAATAAAAAATAAAAAATATTAGTAAAAGTTTTTGATTGAACGTGGGAGTATGTAGCAAATTGAATATTAAAATAAAGTTAAATTTTTTTTGCATTTTTCTTCATTTTAGAGATGTTTGGGGCTTGCAATCATTAATTAATAATTGAAAATTTAAGTTTTCTTTCAATCTGAAGAGTTCCTCAAAATTTTAATTGTCAAATTGGGGATATAAGAATTTGTTTGAAGAAGTTGACACTCGAGGAGATGATCTCATTCTTGTATTAGTCAGCGAGCAGCGCGTTTTGCTCATGAAATAGGTTGGTACCTGAATTTGTTAGTTTTTAAGAATTTAATTTTTTATTTAAAATGTGGTGTTTTTTTCAATTTGCTGATTTTTGTATTTTTTCTTGCTCATGAAATAGGGTCGCAGACCGTGACCGAAACTGGTAGAGCCATTTGTTTTTTGAATAAAAACAATTTTTTCTGCAACGAGGAAAAGCCTGACCTCTTCATTTCCATGGGGATATAAGAGTTTGATTTTGATCAAATGCATCCTTTATATTTAATTAATTCGACTCCCCATTCTGAAAAATGAAATTTGCTGATGGCGCACCTGCCGCCTTGTTAATTAACATGCAAACAATGGAACGTCACACGCATTCAGTTTATTTTGAGGCTCAGAGCAAGGTCTAAGGAGCTGCTCTCCGCTTCAAAACGAAGATTTCGTTTGCCGAAAATTGATGAGGCAGCCACAAAATCTGGCCGCCGAAAGGGTTTCAAATTAAAACATGAAAAGCGCAGCCTTGCTCTCTCTGCCAAAGCGGCATGGCACCTATGCGTGAGATGGGGCAGAATTAACGTGCAACCGGCCTTTCTAGTTAGTTAATTTTACTTGGAATTGGGGCTCTTCGCCATGAAGGCTATATCTAAAAGTAAATTTTTTTTAATATCTTCCTTTTTAATTAAATTAATTATTTATAATTGTATGTGAAAAATGATTATGCGTTATTGAAATGAGAGATTTTTTTTATAAAAATTTGCAAATTAAGGTTAAAAATATATTGAATGAAATTTTAAACTCATTCTGTAACATATGTGAATCAGCTAATTTGAATTCAGAAGTGCAGCAATCAAATAATTAATTCTTGAAGTCCACATCTCGAGAAAGTCCTTGAATTATATTTTAATAAAAACAGCGCTTATATTTGTATGAAACTCATTAGTAAAATTTTCAAAACTAAAATAGTTTTTATTGGGGGGTTTAGGGATATTCACATTGACAGTTAGCTTTTAGGAATTAGTAGTATTAAAAAGCATCTAACTTTAATTAGATGGGTAATGATACATATATCATATCAGTGTCGGATACAAACCCATGTGTCGCCGCCACGCTTCCTTTATAACGATGTTCATTTTTCACGTTCAATTTACTATTTGTTTATATTCACAATTTATTGTGGTATAAAAATTACATCACAAAAAAATAACGCAGTTTAAAAAAGCAGAATCATGTATTTTAAACCTACACACTAATGCCTTTAAAAACAGGAGTCGAATTTTGCTTCTTTTAATGGAAAATTTTGCACTTGACGTGATGGTCGCAGAGTAACTTCCGGGTTACACCTTTTTTTGCTGATGTGCCTCTTTTTGAGGTTTATAACCATGTGGAAGGCCCAGTTAGACTCACTTCCGCTTTGTGTTCCAGCGATGCAAAGCGTACATTTGCTACAAATTATACAGTTAGGAATATTCCGAAAATCGTATAGCAATGCCAACGTGGCGGCTATTTTCTTTGTGTTTCCTTGCAATTTTTTGTGTAAACTAATGTGATTATTCATAGTATAGGTTGATTTTAAACTTGGAATCTGTAGCTTGATTTTGCAGTTTGCGCAAAATTTCATAGAGGAAAAAACACTGGAAGAAGACAAGTAGTTGTCAAGTGCTGTGGAAAAAAATCATGCCTAAATCGTGTGATAAAAATTACATCGGAACCAAAACAAAACTACACAAACAGGTCAAATATTGAGTTTTTTTAAATGGAAAAAATATTTTCAAAGTAAAATTTTTTTCATATTCCAGCAGTCAAGTTGACTTAGTGACGAGCAGCATGACTAGTCTGGCCCCCAACATTTTTTACGAAACTGCAACAATCTCTGAAACTGTTACCACGAACAAAATTTCAAATTATGATATCTCAAATGAAAACACACGGATTTCAACCCCAGTCGATATTTTGACCCAGACAACTGACCCAGCTCTAATAGAAAAAAGACAAAACTACACAAAAAAGTCAACTGATCAAATTTTGAGGTTTTAAATTTTCGGAAATGTTGAGAATGTAAAAATTTATTCTCTTTCCAGCAATAACCTAGTGACGAGCAGCAAAACTAGCTTAGCCACAAACATTTTTGACGAAACTGCAACAATCTCTGAAATTGTTACCACGAACAAAATTTCAAATAATGATATCACAACTGATAAAACTCTGATCTCAACCCCAGTCGATACTTTGACCCAGACAACTGACCCAACTCTAATAGAAACTGCATCCCTAATGGAAACGACAATCCAAATGGAAACTAAAACTTCACTTGTAGCTGCTAATCTAACGGAAACTGCAACATCAATGACTACTAAAATGAAATCATCTTCCATTTCTATCCCGACAACTAAAATTCCAAATGTAAATTTTAAGATTTTATCAAAGATTTTTTATGGAAATGAAGCGATCGGGCTTTTCCTCGTTGCAGAAAAATTTCATATGTCAAATTCAAATTACTTGATAGGGATATGGAATTTTAGAATACTTTTTTATTTGGCTCCAATTAATTCAATTATTATTGATTTATTCTCCATTTATAATAACATAACATTGCATAATAGATTACAAACTACGGGAACCAATAAAATCAGGATAACTGGTTATCATCATCAGATGCTAGAAAAAAACATGACAAAATAGCTATTACCTCCTCTTTTTAATGATTAAAATACAATTTTGTGTTGTTTGAAGGGCCGCTTAAAACCTTTTTATTAATTAAATTAAGTATTCAAAGTCTTGGATTATATAAAATTAAAATTGCATATTTGTTTCCAGGTGATTCCGGTGTGTCCAACAATTTGTTCCAAGGAAGTGAGTAATCACAAATATTATGAATATTGCATTCTCCTATTTCCATATGATGTTTTTTGAGAGCAGGCGTCGTTCTTTGCAAAAGATGGAACATTAATTGGTTAGTTGTGGAAAGTAGAATAAATTTCATCTAAAGAACCCACGTGGTTAAAAATTAGATCCCCTTAGTCATGGTTTTTGGGCAGAGGCGTGTGGACAGTTGTTTATTTTTGGAAAGCGATTGGTAAGAAATAACCTCAAATTTAATTTTAATTCATGAAAAACAATCAACGAAGGCTAATTGGGAGCAAAATGCGGATATTTGCTGCAAACTTGGCATGCAACCAATCGTGTTTGAAAGCAGTGACAAACAAAAATGTTTAAACACTTTCATTGATGGTAAAATTTTCTTTGCATCTTGAGCCATTATAAAAATTTAGTTGATAAAAGGCTTCAATTGGAAGTACAACTCTAAATATTGGACGTATGGGGTGCGCTATAATACAACCCAGCAATTAGGGTGGTGTGGCAGCAACAGCAGTATATTGAATGCATGGGACAGCGGTGAACCGAACAATGTGAACAATACAGAAAACTGCATTCAGATGAAGATCTCTAAATTGAACAGCACCGCCTTGCTTAGTGACAAATCCTGTGCTGATATCACGGCCTTTGCTTGCCAGGTACAACTTCGATTTTTTATTTAAATAGTTTTATTTCATTTTACTTCCAATTTTATTCAAAAGGGCCCACCAACTCCGAAACCATCTTGCACTTCGCCGACGTGTCCCAATTATCAGTGTGTAAAAAACGTATGAAACATTAATCGGGGACATTAACATGCAAAATTAGCAACAGCAAATCTCACAAAAGCTAACTAAATAAGCACAATGAATGTCCCACAAACATATTTTGAATAATGGAATTTTTATTTTAAAAGATGAGTTTCTACGCTAGTATGGTGGTGCATAACAAAACCACTTATTTAAGAGGTATGAGATTTGCGTTGAAGTACACTTAGCCGAAAAAACTTGAACCATGTGTTAAGAAGAATAACTTGCTAGACTGATGAAAAAGCACAGTGAATCTCTCTCCAAAATGCATTCTGATTATGGATCTTTGCTAATTTTGTCATTATAATTAAAACTTAATTGATACTAAAAAAGTATACTTTTCTGGGCTATTTTTTTGTCTATGGAGTTTTTCAAATGTTTTTGCAAAATATTTACTCTAATGTTTCTCTGGTTTCTCCTCTTTGAGATAGTTGAACATAAATATTATAATCAAAGTGAAAGGATTCTTAATAAAATTTTACTCCTGTTGAAAGCAAATATCATAATTTTGCTTAAAAATGTCCTTTCTCAAGGCATTATCAATTAAATTATCTCCATATCTCTATGCAGAGAGTTTCACTAGTCCCTAGCAATATTCAAAAGAATCAAACAAAGCACTTTTACATAGCAATGGTGTCTTTTTTGCAGTTTAACTGTTATATGTTTAATTGCTTACCAAAATATTAAATTTCTCACTGCAATGCTTAATTTCATTTCGTACTCATTGGAAAATTTAATGTTCAGAGAATTTTAAAAATCTCATAGACCCCAATCAGCATGGTCGTTGGATAGACGTGGGCTCAAAGAGATACGTCTTTAGTCTGTCAGCAAATAAGAAGAATGTACGAAAATTTATTTATGTCAAAAGCTGTAAAAGATATAATTTAATATAGTTCACTGAGTCTCTGTCCGCATGCTGCTCCATTGGAATGAAGCTAATCAGTCTGCATCAGGATTTCCTGTTTGACACTTTAATTAATGCTTCATCAGGTCAGATTTATTTTAAACTGACTCTAGCAATGTTTATTTGGATATTATTCCAAACTATTTGCATCTATAGCTTTAAACGAGACGAGAAACAACGTGTTCTGGACTTCGGCAACGGATGCGGGGTGTGCTGGGTACCTAGGCTACTGCTCTACAAACCATCTCATTCGAAATGAAGCAAAGTATAATTTTTTTATTACTTGTTATTTACTTCATTCTATAAGTTAATAAATCATAAACCTTAGCATTCATTTAAATATTAACATTTAATTTTTTAGATTCTTAATTAAACATTTTATTTAAATAATCAAAGGTGGGCCTCTGGTCAACCTGATAACACTAACGGAACCAAACACTGCGTTGCCGTGGAAGTTACTCAAAGTTCATCTTATCTTTTCATGGAGGACTGTAACAAAAATTTGCAATACGCTTGTGAGGTATCAATACAACATCACAGTTTATTTCGTTCAATAAGTAACAAACTATTCAACAAGGGACGCAGCAAAATGGGTTCCCTTTCGGGAATAGTAGAGGAAGAGTGTCGCATACCTTACCGCTTATCCAAAGGTTTGTTTAAACAACATTGATCTTTTAAGCTTTTTTAATATGGGGTGTTTGAATGGAAAATCGGAATTGCCTCTATGGATTTTGGGAACAGTTTTTTTACTAGAAGAAAAAAACCCAATAAATTTGTTACAAATAAAACAATAAACAAAGCCGATTTTCAAATTTGAACCCTCAATCTTGAATTTCTATTAAAATTTTTTTAAATTCGTAGAAGAAACGAATAAATCGCTTTCTAGCCAGCCGCAGAGTATGAATGAAAAGTGCTTTATCAAATGTTTTGGCGAAGGAATGGGACTGGTAGAAAACAGGAACGGAATAATTCTCAATCATGATCTTGAAACCATTTTAAATTTTTAGTACGTAAATGGCAAGCTTAAGGAGGAACTTATTTACGCGCAAATTCCAATAATTGCTGCAAATGACGATCAAAAGTTAATGGAATCATACACAGTGATGGAGATGTGCACCAACATGACAAGTAAAATCAGCAAATTCCGCAATTTACAGTTTCCCCCACAACAAACTTTTTATATTTTAATTAACTCGATAGAGGGGATGGATGAGTGCAATCAAGCAGCCGAGCTGCTCAAATGTGGCCAGGAAAATGCTCCAGTGGCGCTTGCTTCTCTTATGAACAATTTGGAAGCCCTCGCGATTGTTGAGAAACAAACAATAAATTATGGTGGGGATTTAGAAAATTTATTTCATGCAGGAATTTCCGGTACCTCTACCGTCCTCTACAGCTGTTTGTCCAAATAATTACATATGCAATGTCAATGTATATTTCTAAAAATTTTGTTTCAATATTGTTCAACATTTTTTCCCGCTGCAGGAGGAACTCAAAATCAGTTTTGATTTGAAAAAAGGTAATAGATAATTGAATGCATTAGATTTTTCTCTCAGATTATCCGCTCTAATAATACAGACGGCGATGTATTGATTACAAATTTTGGCAGTGGAACAGTTAAGCACATATGCAACAAAAAATATTATATAGTGGATTTTCCTCAAGTATGTAATAATTATGTAAATGAAAACTTTAAATTATGACTTTCGATTTCTTCGTAGATAACAACAATTATCAACGCACTTGAGAATTGTTGCTTATTGGGACTGCGACTTGCAACTATTGATACAAAATCAGAGCATGATTGCTTGGTTGCTAACAATATAAGTGCTGTAACATTATTGTAAAATATAACTCATTCAAACTGTTTCTCCTCAACAGCAACTAGTAGCAATCTAGTTGCAGCCTCTATGCTTGGAAACATAGGCCACCCGATATGGTGCTTTTCCGACAAACCCTTTAATGCCACGTGGTTCAATACAGATTTGGTGACGAGCGAACCCAATCCTGCAAGGTTCACAGTCAATTTAGCTTTAAATCAGCGAAATTCAATCGCTAGAAGTTGGTCGGATGATCTAGCACGAGCAATTTGTCAGTCTGTTTAGTTCTTTTTGAAGAATTTATAAAAATGTTTGTATTAAATATGATTGACAGCAAAAGCGTTTTTTATTTTGTTGAGTCCACTCAGAATTAGCCTAATAAGCTCACGGCTCACGGGGGCCAGAAGCAAAATAAAATCACATTTTCAGCTTTAGTTTTCTAATATTAGATTTATTGAAAGTTCTTTTTTCCTTGTTGTGTTTTTTTTTTAGACTGCTCTACCAGTTGTGGGCATGGTCTGAGACCCTATTTTATGATGAGCAAGAAAAATACAAACAAAAAACTTAAATTCCAAATCTTAAAATTAACAAATTCAATTATCATGTGTAACCTCCACGCTTCCTTTGTGACAATGTTCATTTTTCATGTTCAATTTCGCTGCTATTAATGGAAAATTTTACATGTCATGCATGTTGGTCGCAGGATGACTTCCGTTACACTGTAGAACATTAAACTACTTTTATTGCTGATTATGCCATTTTCCAACAGTTATAACAATATCGAAAGGCCCACAAAGACGTCATAGACTAACTTCCGCTTTGTGTTACAGCGATGCAAAGCGGACATCTGATACAATTTATTTAGTTCGCAATATTCACAAAATTGGATAGCAATGCCAACGAGGCGGCAACTTTCTTTGTGTTTCCTTGCAATTTTTTGTGTAAACTAATGTGATTTTAAATTATTAAGTGGATTTTAAACTTGGAATCTGCAGCTTGATTTTGCAGTTTGCGCAAAATTTCATGGAGGGAAAAACACTGGAAGAGTTCCAAGAAGACAAATAATTGTCAAGTGCTGTGGAAAAAAATCATGTCTAAATCGCCCGACAAGAATTACAACGGAACCAAAACTTAACTACACAAACAGGCCAACTGTCAACATTTTGAGGTTTTAAAAAATATACGGAAGTCTTTTGAAAGTGAAAATTTATCCTCTTTCCAGCAATAAAGTTGACCTAGTGACGAGCAGCAAGACTAGCTTAGCCACAAACATTTTTGACGAAACTGCAAAAATCTCTGAAACTTTCATCACAGAAAAAGTTTCAAATAATGATATCACAAATGAAAACACTCGGATCTCAACCCCAGTCGACATTTTGACCCAGACAACTGACCCAACTCTAATAGAAACTGCATCCCTAATGGAAAGGACCATCCAAATGGAAACTGAAACTTCACTTGTAACTGCTAATCTAACGGAAACTGCAACATCAATGACAACTAAAATGAAATCATCTTCCATTTCTATCCCGACAACTAAAATTCCGAATGTAAATTTTAAGATTTTAAATTTCATATGTCAAATTCAAATTCCTTAATAGGGATATGGATTTTTAGAAAACTTTTTAATTTGACTGCAATTTATTCAATTTTTATTGATTTATTCTCCATTTATTGGTATACATTACATTGCATAATAAATTACAAACTACGGGAACCAATAAAATCAGGATAAATGGGTATGATCGTACTGGATCATACATAACAAATGTCAGTAAAAAAAATGAGAAGATAGCTATTACATTTTTTTTAATGGTGAAAACACAATTTTGTGTTGTTTGAAAGGCCGCTTATAATTTTTTTAATTAAATTAATTATTCAAAGTCTTGGATTATATAAAAAAAAATTACATTTATGTTTCCAGGTGATTCCGGTGTGTCCAACAATTTGTTCCAAGGAGGTGAGTAATCACAAATATTATGAATATTGCATGCTCATAGTTACGTCTGACATTTTTTGAGAGCAGGCGTCTTTCTTTGCAAAAGATGGAACATTAATTGGTTAGTTGTGGAAAGTAGATTCAATTTCATCTAAAGAACCCACTGTGGTTCAAAATTAGATCCCCTTAGTCATGGTTTTTGGGCAGAGACGTGCGGACAGTTATTTATTTTTGGAAAGCGATTGGTAAGAAATAACCTCAAATTTAATTTTAATTCATGAAAAACAATCAACAAAGGCTAATTGGGAGCAAAATGCGGATATCTGCTGCAAACTTGGCATGCAACCAATCGTGTTTGAAAGCAGTGACAAACAAAAATGTTTTAACACTTTCATTGATGGTAAAATTTTCTTTGCATCTTAAGCCATTATAAAAATTTAATTGATAAAAGGCTACAATTGGAAGTACAACTCTAAATATTGAACGTATGGGGTGCGCTATAATACAACCCAATTAGGGTGGTGTGGCAGCAACAGCAGTATATTGAATGCATGGGACAGCGGTGAACCAAACAATGTGAACAATACAGAAAACTGCATTCAGATGAAGATCTCTAAATTGAACAGCACCGCCTTGCTTAGTGACAAACCCTGTGCTGAAATCTCGGCCTTTGGTTGCCAAGTACTTCAAATTGTTCATTATTAAATAATTTTATTTTACTTTAATTTTTATTCAAAGGGCCCACCAACTCCGAAACCATCTAGCACTTCACCGGCGTGTCCCAATTATCAGTGTGTAAAAAACGTATGAAACATTAATCGGGGACATTCACATGCAAAGTTAGCAACAGCAAATCTCACAAAAGCTAACTAAATAAGCACAATGAATGTCCCACAAACACATTTATTTTTAATAAGGGAATTTTTATTTTAAAAGATGAGTTTCTACGCTGGTATGGTGGGAGATAACAAAACCAAGTATTTAAGAGGTATGAGATTTCTATTTGATTTCCACTTTACGATTTAAAAAACTCGTTTTGTCAGTACGAAGAATATATTGCTAGCCAGAGAGGAAAAAGCAAATTTCCCTCCAAATATCATTTTTTAAGCAAGCAATTTTTTATTTTTAGTTATTTGTATAAGTGTTTTTTCCTCGAAATATTTTTCAAATTTTTAATTGTTTGACTTCTTTTTTTGCAGTATAAGTTATAAAAATATGTTGAACAAGATATATAAATATGTATTATCTCACTGCAATGCTAGATATAATTTCAAATTCATAGAAATTTTAATGCACAAAAGAGTTTTAAAAATCTCATAGAGCCCAATCAGCATGGTCGTTGGATAGACGTGGGCTCAAAGAGATACGTCTTTAGTCTGTCAACAAATAAGAAGAACGTACGTAAAATTTATTTATTTCAAAATATTGCTGTAAAAGATATACTTTAATTTAGTTCACTGAGTCTCTGTCCGCATGCTGCTCCATTGGAATGAAGCTAATCAGTCTGCATCAGGATTTCCTGTTTGACACTTTAATTAATGCTTCAACAGGTCAGATTTATTTTAAACGAAATCTACCAGTGTTTATTTGGTTATTATTTCAAACGATTCGCATTTATAGCTTTGAACGAGACGAAAAACAATGTGTTCTGGACTTCGGCAACGGATGCGGGGTGTGCTGGGTACCCCGGCTACTGCTCTACAAATCGTCTCATTCGAAATGAAGCAAAGTATGACAATTTTTATTATTATTTACAATTTACTTCATTCCATTAGTTAAAAAATCATAAACCTTACAAATTATTTGAATATATATTACATTTTATTTTTAAAATTAATATAGTAACAATTTGTATTTAAATAATAAAGGTGGGCCTCTGGTCAGCCTGACAAAACTAATGCAGCCAAACACTGTGTAGCGGTGGAAGTTACACAAAGTTCGTCCTATCTTTTCCTGGAGGACTGTAATAAAAATTTGCAATACGCTTGTGAGGTATCAACAACATCACGGTGTATTTAGTTCAATGTGTAAATGAAACTATCTAACAAGGGACGCAGCAAAATGGGTTCCCTTTCGGAAATAGTAGAGGAAGAGTGTCGCATACCTTACCACTTATCCAAAGGTTTGTTTAAAGAAAAAAAAATTTTGTTAAATTAGTTCCAAGCTTTTTTAATATGTGGTGTTTGAATGGGATCAACATTTTCTCAATGCATTTTGTGAGTTGTTTTTACTTCGTAGAAAAAAACAATGATCTTTTTCTATATGAAAGAATAAACTACCCACAAAACCGATTATCAAATTCAAACCCTCAATCGTGCATTTCTACTACTCAAACTTTTTAAAATTATTTGTAGAAGAAACGAAAAAATTGTTTATTAGCCAGCCGGAGAGTATCAATGAAAAGTGCTTTATTAAATGTTATGGCGAAGGAATGGGACTGGTGAAGAACAGAAAAAAGTTTTAACCATGACTGAATCTATTTTAAATTTTTAGTATGTAAATGGCAAGCTTAAGGAGGAACTTATTTACGCGCAAATGGCAACAATTACTGCAAACGACGTTCAAAGGTTAATGGAATCATACACAGTGATGGACATGTGCACCAACATGACAAGTAACATCCGCAAATTCCACAATTTGCAGCTACCCACAAGCGCTTTTAATTAATAATTATCCTGATAGGGGGTATGGATGCGTGTGATCAAGCAGCAGAGCTGCTCAAATGTGGCCAGGACAATTCCCCAGAGGCGCTAGCTTCACTTATGAACAGTTTAGATGCGTCCGCGAATGTTGAGAAACAATCAAAAAATTTTTGCGGGGATTAAAAAATTTTTTTCATTCAGGAAGTTCCAGTACCTTTACCGTCCTCTTCAGCTGTTTGTCCGAATAATTTCGCATGCAATGTCTATGTATATTTCCAAAAAAATTAGTTCAATATTATTTGAGATTTTTTTTCCCCGCTACAGGAGGAACTCAAAATCAGTTTTGATTTGAAAAAAGGTAATAGAAAATTGAATGCATTAGTTTTTTCCCTCAGATTTTCCGCTCTAATATTACAGACGGCGATGTATTGATAACAAATTTTGGCACTGGCACAGTGAAGCACATATGCAACAAAAAATATTACGTCGTGTCTTTTTCTCAAGTATGTAAACAAAAATTTAAAACTATCGCCTTTGATTGTCTTCTTAGAAAGAAACAATATCCACCTCAATCGAGCATTGTTGCTCATTAGGACTGCGACTTGCAACCTTTGATACAAAATCAGAGCACGATTGCGTGTTTGCCAACATTATAAGTGCTGTAAAATTATTGAAAAATAACTCATTCAAAGTGTTTCTCTTCA